TGAATAATGACGTAATGATACCTTAATAGAATTTCCTATCCATTTACAAAAAACAAACCTTCACCCTTTCAATTTCGTTATATCTTCTTATTTAGTAGAAGAATCATCATTTATTATATTCTACTCCACCTTAATTTGTACCATCAGAGTTTTAAGAATAAACATTAAATTTTAAATCGAAATAAAAATTCATTGAAAAATGACAGAAAAAATAATAATAGTATATGAAAATTAAAATAAGGTGCAAGAAAAGCCTTTTCACGATAATTTTTTGAAATATATTGACAACAATTAAAATGAAGCTGTTATTTTATCTTTAAAATTAAGTTTGATTGAATTGAATTAGTACAATGAGAAAAAATATTAAACTAATAACTCTTTAATGTTATTAAATGCATTTTATTTTTAATTGAGTAGTAGATTAAAAGTTCTGAATTAGGATATTAAAATAATATCTTACTCTCTCCTTAATTATTATGGTATTGCAAACATTTATTTTCCTTAAATCGTGATTCATTTTCTATTTACAGTTATATCCAATTAATTTCTAATGTATTGAATGTGGTTATGGGATATTGAAATAATATCTTTATTTTTCCTTAATCATAATAAAATTATAATTAAACATTTATTTTTCTGAAATGATAATTTTGTTTTAATTCCTAGAACATGTTGTTTACTATATTGAATGTAATTATAATAAAACATATTGTATTTAGTATGACAAAAGAACTCAAAAATTGGAGAAATTAGATAAATAGTAATCTTAACTTCTAAGAAATGTCACATCATCATTTACATATCCAACTTTATATATATAAGAGTTAAAAAAGAAAAAATAAGTGATTAAACAAAATTATATAAATAACATTAATGATGAGATGAAGATTAAGAAAAAACGTCAAAAAAATTAGTTGTATTGATGATGATAAAAGTTAAATAAATCATTTTTTCTATTATTAAAATTTTTAACATAAAATTTCCAATCTTTTAAAATTAAAAATAAATGTTAAAAAAAAAAATCGAGACAATAATTATTTTAAAGAAAAATATAACCAAAATTGTCAAAAAAAATTAATAAAAATAAATAACTATCTATTAATAAGAATGGTGTCACTACATTTTCTATTTTAACTTTATTGTTACGTATGGATAGAAACTTTTACAAGAATAAATGATCCAAAAATTTAAAAATAATGATTCCTTAAATGGTGATTCCTTTTCCATTTACAGTTTTTCAATTAATTTTTAATGTATTATATATGGTTATGGATATTGGAATAATAATTTTATCTTTCCTTAATCATAATAAATTCTATTTTAACCTTTGTTTTTGTGAAATGATAATTTTCTTTTCATTCGTACAACATATTGATTAATATATTAAATGTAATTATAATAAAACATGTTGTATTTAGTATGACAAAAGAATTCAAAAATTTTTAAAATTAAATAAATAGTAATCCTAACTTCTAAGAAATGTCACAAATATATATATATATATATATATATATATATATATATATATATATATATATATATATATATATATATCTAAGAAAATAATATAAATTACATTAATGATGAAATGAAGATTAAGAAAAGAAGTAAAACAAACTAATAATAATATTGATGATGATAGGAGTTAAATAAATCATTTTTATATTTTGTAAATTTTCAATATAAATTTTTCAGTCTTTTAAAATTAGAAAATGCTAAAAAAATAAAAGTAAAACTAAAAATCGAGGCAACAATTATTTTAAGGAAAAAATAACAAAAAATGTCAGAAACATTGATCAGAATAAATAAGTATCTATTGCTAAGAAGGTGTTACCCCACATTTTCTATTTTAGCTTTATTATTACATATAGATAGAAACTTTAAGATGAAGAATGATCCAAACATTTTAAAAATAACAAATCAATTATGTAAAAATACATGTGTAATTCTTATAAAGTTATAATAACTAATTTCTTCAAATAAATAATTAAATGAAAGAAAAAAATGTAATTAAGAAAATAATATAAATAACACTAATTATGAGATTAATAGCATTGATGAGGAAAGGAACTAAATATGATCATCTTTTTAAATTCTTTTTTAAGAAAATATATATAAACTTTAATTAAAGAGAAATAAGAAAAAAAAACTTTAATTAAAGATACAAAAAATCAAGACAAAATTAAAGAAGAAAGAAATTAGAAGAATAATGAGGTTGAAAGAAATAATATCTAATTTTCTCTCTTTTCAAATCACAAAATAAATTTTTGCTTGTTCTCCTCCTAATTTGATACGAATTCCATAAATAGAATGATTTTTTCTCCAAATAATTTTTCTTACCCTTTGAAACACTAATCAGGCTTCTTATAAATTTCTCAACTACAATGAATTTTCTCTCCTTGTAGGAGGAATAAACATTTTTTCAAAAAGTCTTTTATTTTGAAAAGAATTTTTTGTTACATAATCTCTTTCTTTACATCAATGTCTTCACAAGAATAATGAGATATTCTCTCTTTCTCTTTTGTTTAAAAAGTCACATGACCTAGAAATTTGATGGACATCTTAGCGACAAAAGTTGATACCATATGTTGATCATTATCGTCAGAGGAAGAAGAGCCAAAGTGAAGAAATTTGTTCTTATTTGTTACAAATGCTCAACTATTTTGTTTTTATTTTATAGGCTAAATAATTATAAACAGTTATAAAAAATGAATAGTTTTTATCTTTTCATCTTCCATTTTCATTTACTTAAATCTATATTAGTGTAATGGATGTTATAAAGGGCATAATTAATCGGGTATGACATAAATACTTTTTTTAAAATACAAAACAAAGATAAAATGTCCAAAAAAGGAAAAAAAAGATGAATACAAATACTGGTCATAGAGAGATGCCACATCAAATTGTCAATATTCAGCTTTATATATACATATATAGGTTCATGCCCTTAGATGTTATTTTATTACTTTAGCTGGCATCGACATTTTTGTAAATCTGATATCTACTTTGGAACATTTTATAATGTGGCATAGGCTGACAATTGAGATCATAAATTTAAAATAATAAAATTTAATTTATTATAATACTAATATCAATATCATAAAGATATATATATATATCATTTAAAAAATATATAAAAAGTATTATAAATTGTAATAATTAACCATTTTTTTAAAAAATCATATAACTAATTTGATTTACATTCCAAAATTCATAGGTGTCACATAATTTACACATTAATTCTTCATTACTTAATATATGTAATTATATCAATGACATATAAATTGAAATTAAAAAATACATATTTTATTTGAAAATCACGTAATAGTACTATAAGGTATAATAATTAACAACTTAACATATTTTAAAATTTTAGTTGACTCTCCGAATTCCATATGTCTCATGTAATTGAGACAGAGAAAAACATATATTGGTTTAAAATTAATAAAACTATTATAAATTATAATAATTAACAACTTAAAATTTATAAAAAAAATCCTTTAAAATTTTTTAGTTGGCTCTCCAAATTCAATCGGTATTACAATAATTAAAACATAGAAATTAACATAGATTGGACTCCTGCTGACATTTATGTTTCCTTTTTCTAAATTTTTTCTTTTATACTTTATATAAATAATTTTTTTATGTAAAAAATATTATAAATCATAATAATTAATAACTTAAAATATTTCAAAACATATAAAAAGTTTTTGTTAACTTTCAAAATTTCATCTATACCGCATAAATTGGGAGAAATATAGATATATAGATATTTTAAGTTGCTAATTATTGTGAGTTATAGTACGTTTTATGTAATTTTCATATATATTACTCGGTCCTAATTTATGTGATACAAATGAAATTTCAAAAGTCAATGAATTTTTTATAAGTTTTTTTTTATATTAACTTGTTAATTATTGTGATTTCTAATATATTTACGTAAAACATACTCTAAATACAAATAATTAGCAACTTAAAATATATAAAAACATACTAAAAAATTGATTAACTTCAACTTTCATATGTACCACATAAATTAAAACAAAAACAGTAACATATATTGGGCTCCGTGCTGGCACGGGGTCCCATATCTAGTATATATATATACCTCACTTGTTCCTTAATTTTGTTGGCAAATAATTGAAGATCAACAAGTTCTTGAGTGAGCATAATCTTTGCTTCAGGTGATTCTTGACAAGCTTTGATATAGTGTTGGGCATCTTTAATTTGTTCGATTATAATATCTTTGGACTGACCATCATTGTATTTCTCAAGTGCCGATGCAAGATATCTTGCAGCATATATAATCTCCCAAAAATATGCTACAATCCATCATGTCATTACCAGAAAATTCATTTGATAAGCCCTGCGCTTTATTTGACGCTGGTCGAAGGGAGGATTCAATATCATCATCAGCCAAAGGTAAATGAGGAATCAATGTGAAAATTAATACTGAAATGCATGCCAAACTGAGATACTGCCATTTTTATTTTGATCACGAGTTTATGTTTATAATTATTATTTTTTTATTTTCACAGATATTTTTGGCTTATCTTTATCAGTTAAATAATACATCTAATCTAATCTTAGAAACATTTTTTTCTGTTACAAACTATAATTAAATGTTGAGTATTTTGGTTGCGTGCAATGTTATTGGTCATAGATTACATGCATTTATGACCTATGATGTTTGTTGCAATAACCGTACGTCTTTAATCGTGTCTTAGTCTAATGTGTTTTATTATTGGTAATACTCCTATCGTCTATATTAAGTGAATTGCATGAATTTTTTTTTTAGTTGAAAATATGGAAATTTATCAAAGTTCAAGAGATAAAAGTTACGAATAGGTTGAATTAGAAAGACTTTACGTTAGATAAGAAGATTTTTAAGAATGGATTAGTTTCATTCTTATAAATTCTCAAATACTACATAATTTTTACACATTGTTTTTTTTTTATAAGATCACACTTACGTTGAATATTTATGAGCACAATATAAATATATATGAAATTTACATTAATAATCTAAAGTTGTATAAAAATCAAGAACAAAACTAACCAACCAAATCAAGAAAATTATTGCATGTAGTACACTTGAAGAGACCAAAGAGAAGCATCAAAAGAAAAAAAAATTGAAGACACGACAAATATATAAAACACACATTTTTTCTTCTTATGTACAAAATTGAGTAATCTTCAACTTAATTAATCCCATATGGAAGGGTCTTAATTAATTGATCAGAAAGGTATTTTATCAGTGATATAGTGGAAGAATTGAAAAGGAGCATTCACTAGACCAAGTGCCATTTCTACCAACACAGTCACACAAAAGCAACAGGGGCATATGCAAGTCAAAATCAACCTGCACCATCACCAAAATTCTTATTAACTTTTACATTTAATTAACATCATATATATATATAGTTTTTGTTGACTCCTGTATTCAGATTAACAAACCAGAAATAATAAAAGATGAAAAGAAAAACAAAGAACTATCTGAGTCCACAGAACCCGTCCTTAAGAAAATTTAATCCCCTCAAGTACCCGAGGTTGCAGATTAATTCCTCCCAAAATAAAACAGATTAACCATTAAAGAAGTAGCGGTACCTCAAACTTCAATAATTTCAACGAACTCAAAAAGACACCAACGAATCAACACACAAACACAATCGATCGATTTTGTTTTGTAAGAAATGTATGCAAAAGAAGGGAAGAATTCGATAAAAAAAATGAGAGAAAGTCTCTCTATTTATAGCCAACAAAGGGTAATGTCACAACTCTTTGGAACAAAGACAACCTTTCAAAAAGGTCACAACCACCTTTGGAAAAGGTACAACCTTTCAAACGGTCACAACCCTTTAGAAAAGATACAACCTTTCATAGAGGTTACAACACTTCGTAAAAGTCACAACCCTTCAGGAGAGTCACAACCTTCATTTCATGTTTACACCTTTAAAATCCAACAGCTTTCTCTAACAATAAATTAAATTTAAGCTACTTAGAATTAAGTCAGACTAATAAACACTCTTAAATTGATTAGCAGTTCACAACTTTTTGTGCAAAAATACAAACCTTTACTTGGATGGCCACGATAGAAATTTTCCCACAAATTAATCTTACACTAATTAATAGTCGTGACTTCTGTCCATGTGTTTAGTAAGAAAAACAAAAGTAAATACATAAAATCATTCTATGATTTTTCCATTAAGTTGAGGCGAATTCAAAATTTGAAGTTTATGAATTCTCAATAAATTCAAATTACAAAAAGAAAACTTCTTTATATGTGCCCAAGCGGAATCAAACCATCATATAGAAGGCCAACTAAGCTTAAGTGGGTTCCTTCACCAACGTTGGACCAAGTGACTGCTTTGTTATTAGATTCCCAATAGATATTTATTATATATTTAATAAATTTCTCAATATAAATGTAGAGTTTTGTACGAAGTTATTGGATTCTCGAAAACTCGTGTACTCTAGATCCGCCTCGGCCGGTAGTTAGACACTTCTAGGAGCTAGGAGTTTTGACCGATCTTTTTCAATGAGTTTAACTATTAAGTCGCCAAAATTCAAAAGATAAACTATATGTTACTGCACATATATGTAATAAGTGGCAAAATAAAAATAGATTATAGAAAGACAAACCCGATAATCCAGATAATTCCTCCAATAAAAGCGATGACCAGAGAGATTAAGGCAAATGGAAGTCCCAAAAGAAATGCTATTGGCCGGCATTTCGTCTCTTTTTCAATTTGATTTATCTTTACTAATTCTGAACTTTCCATTCTATCTTTTTCAACTTGTTCATTCTTGTTTCCCTCAGCTGGATTACTATTATTTTCTTCTTCGTCTTTAACTTGCTCTGCATCTATATTCGCCTCACTTTCAATCTTTGGTGGATCAATAATTACTTGATCATTATTATTTTCTTCTTCGTCTTTAACTTGCTTTGCATTTGTATCTGCATCACTTTCGATTGTTACAATCTTTGGTAGATCAACGATCACTTGATCATTATCAATTTCTTCCGACTTTGTTGCTTTATGTTCATCAACTTCTTCGATGGATGATCGCGAAATTTCTGATTTGTCTTCTTTGTTATCCATATTGTTAATTATTCTGAGTTGAGCTTATAGTAAAGAGGGGGAAAAAAACTTAGACTTTGTGATACGTAAAAAAGAAATTAAAGCACATTTTTATATAGTAGAGATTTCTTGACATTTTTAGGTCAGGACAAAATGTGATTGGTAATAGCCAACCAAATGTATGATTTCTTCCCCTTGTTTAAGAGAGTAAATTATTGGACTTTGTGTATCCCCACTTGCATGCACAAAACAATCCAAAGTCAAAGTCAATGCACTTAGTTTATATTGATTAAAATTAAGAATCTATTTGGTGTGTCTCAACAACTTCAGAAATGAACAGCTTGTAATGGATAACTGCTGACATGAGCAATGCTATATATATATATATATATATATATATATAAAAATTAACGAAAGAATTAAAAGAGTAGCTCATTATGATTATATTTTTTATAAAAAAAATAATATTGTATGTTATTCAATTATAGTACGTCTTGTTAGGTAGTAATACACTTGTCATCATAATTACTTGTATAACAATTTCCGAAGGATTTTATGATAGTCTCGGTCACTTCACCTTTTAAGCCGTTTCAAAAAGAATGACTTCCTTTCTTTTTTAATCTGTTTAAAAAAAAAAATCTTTTTTTTTTGTAATATTTTAATTTCAATTTTTCATGTGGCATGTTTAAGGCCACAAGATTAAAGGGCAATTTTGTACATTTAACATAACTTTAATTTAGGACCACAAAATTCAAAAATCTTCTTTAATTTTTTAAACTCCGTGTCAAGTTAAACTAGACCATTCTTTGTAAAACGGAGGGAGTATTTATTTATTTTTAAGATTTCAAGTTGAATGTTCAAATTTTTCTAATTAAAAAAAAATAACTTTAATATAAAACTATCATGGCCCACGGGATAGGATTTGATGTCTTGTAGAATTTTTTATACTATATGTCTGTTCACTAAAATAATAGCAGAAATACCCCTTTTAATATTTTTCAAGTGAATTTAATTCTGTGTATTTAAATTTCCTGCCAAGTGAAAGGATATTTAAATGTTCATATAATTTAAATATTAAAGTAAGTTGTTCTGTCAAATTTGAATATTTTTATTAACGTCAAATATGTAACTTCCTCATTATTCTATCCAATCGAGTGAGATAATATCCTCTTTAAGGTTTTCTTCAATAACCAAAGGTAGAATGTGCAAAAGCTCAAGTGGTCAGATTCAATAATAATTACCATATGATCGGGTTGAAATCTTTTTATTGTTTTAATGTTTTCTTTTTCTTTTTGAAATTTCCAGTAAAATCTGTAGTTGCTAATCTTTTGATTGATACACTTACTTTTATGGAATAGCTTGCAAATTACATAAAAATGTAAACCATAAAAAATAAATTTGACACGATGAGTTATGTCTAAGAAAGTTATTGATGAGGAAAATAGATTCCAGATCTCATTAGAGAAATCGCTCACACAATCAACTGAATCCACTCTTGCGGGTATCATCTTAGTATTAATATTAAATCCCCAACTATATTTGGTATGACCTCACAGCTAACAAATGCATAATTGTCTACTTCCTTGTGTTTTGAAACAATAATTAAAGAAATTATATTTATTAAAGAAACTCTTCTCTCCATTTCACATGTGATTGTTTAGAGCTGCCTAGCAACAACCAAACATCCACCTAATATCTTTGCTAAGTCATATAGCCAACTCAAGTTCTTAGTTATAAATTTTAGGGGATAATTATGCGTGTTATAGTATGTGGGCATAAAGAATTATCGCTCCATCAAAATGATTTTTAGCGACGATAATTAATAACAATAGCTTAATTGTCGTTAAATGTGTATTTTTAGCGGTAATTATTACTTTTTGCAAATATTCTTAAAGCCTATAGCGATATTGAATCCAACAATAATTAACTAATACGGATAAATATTTTAACACTCTTTATTAAGTATATTATAGTTGATAAAAATTATTTTTATAGTAGTATACTCTGACAGATTTTCTAATGATTGGTTAGGGAAGGAGAGAAAATCAGAAAGTAGAAAGGTGTAAAGGGGAAGAATAACTAGAAGACTGTAAAATGGGTGCTAATAAGGCTACTTATGGAATTTTCGCCCCAAGAAAAGCTAGGAAAAAATAAGTTATTACATGATTTAAGCTAACATAATTTCAAAAAATATCTATCATTTGAATTAATTACCAAAATCCCTTTTTCCTTCTCTCTTTTAACAGTTGGATACATCACTCTACCTGTATCAGATACATTACAACTTTATTTGTATATAATGTATCTGATACAAATGTTATTGTTGATACATAACTCCAATTATTTCATAAATCAGTGTGAATTTGATTTATAGTTATGTATTTGATACTAGGGGTGGACATTCAATATTCGGTTCGGGATTATCAAATTTTGAATTCCTTAATTTGATAATTGATAGTTAAAGTAAATACCAAATATCAAAATTTTAAATTTTTATTTGGTAATTCGATAATTGGTAAATTAAATTGCGGTATTTCATTTGTTTCGAATACCATACCAAATACTCAATTACCAAAAAACAAAAAAATGTTTGTTTCGATTCGGTATTTCATGCACAACCCTATCTGATACATAACTTATATTTCTGATATATAACTTATGTATCATTTACTAAATATCAGGCGAAAGAGCAATATATCCATGAATTCTAAAAGTATTGAAATTATTGTAATTTACAAGAAATTTAGGGTAGAATATAATATAATTAAGGGAAAATTACGCATATAAGCAAATATATAAATTATAATAGTTAATTACTTAACATAGCTATAGTTGCCTTAATTACAGTTCGCGGCCTACTTTTAGCTATAATTACGCAACTCAACTTTTTAGTTTTGTATAATTCAAATTTCGTATAATATAATTTGTGTAACTTTTATATAATTCGTAATTTGTATAACTATTTGCACTTCTGATGTTTATAATTGTATAAATTCGCTATTTCGAGTTTATACAAAAATAACTGAATTATACAAATGTACCCGCGAATTATATAAATCTGCAAATTTATACAAATCCGTGAATTATACAAACGAGATAACTTAAATTGTAGCTACAGCCCATAAATATGTAAACTAAAGTTATGGAGCATAATTAAATTTATTATAATAGCTATTTGCAAAAGTTCCTCTATAATTAATGCCCAAATTATTGGGCTTTCTATACTTTAAACTAGCCACCACGTAGCAGCAGAAAATGGGCTTGTATGGAAAATGCCCTTGCTACTTGCTGGCTACATTGGGCCTAATTCGATGAGAAGAGTTCAAATCCGATGTTCACTACAGTACTACACAGGAAATCTACACTAAAATAAGGGAGTTGCTTCTGTGGTAAACATTATTCGAATCACCAATGAAGTAAAGGTGGGAGCTCCTCGGGGATGGGTAAATTTTTTTCAAAAAGAAAATGCACCGGTAGCCAGTTTTTACTTTACTACTCAAATCATATTCACTTTTTAAAGTTATTTAATTTGTAGCCGATTTGGCAAAGCTTCAAACAAAAGTATTTTTGCTACCAGATACACTAAGCAAGATGTGAAGGGAGGTGAGCGATATAGACATGTATCTCATTTATATGCGAATCACGATACACACTAAGTATATATATATATCTGTATGTATATGGTGTATTTCACATGTATATGAGATATCAGATACAAAAGAGAGTGGTTATCGAGATGGGAGGGAGGTGATCGAGATTTGTTATGTATCCAAGATACACGCGAATCCACTTAGATATAATGTAACTAGGATGAATTATACCTAATTTTAACCTCATATATCTCGAGATACATGTATCTGGATACCAAAATTTGATTAGATTTATGTATATCTAAGTTCTAATCTAGTGTGAATGCGGTAAGTTTCCCTTCCATTTTTCTTTAAACTTCATACTGTATTAAATGCATTTCTGACCTCGACCTTTAAAAAAGAAATAAGAATTAAATGCATTTCATAGATACTAGATTGAGATAAAAGAGCATTTATTAAAGAAAACATTAGAAGTCTTTTTTTCTTTTATGTAAAAAGGGAAAAGAGCTTTTAAAGTACTGCATCTTTCTCCTTGTATCTACAATCATCACTCTTCCATATAGCCCTAAAAGCTAAAATCTTCCTTCTGTTTCTCCTCTCCTTTTCACTCATTCTCATCAGAAAAAATGAGACCAAAGATTTATCTGTTTGGAGATTCCATCACTGAAAGGTCATTTGATGAAGGTGGATGGGGTGCTTCTATTGTCAAACACTTCAATCGCACCGTATATATATATATATTCTTCAACACCTCTTCTGTTTAATTTAATATTCTTTTTTTCTTCTTCTTTTTCTCTGATGATTAATTTTGTTTTTTTGTTTAGGCGGATGTGGTGTTAAGAGGGTATAGTGGGTATAACACAAGATGGGCATTGAAGGTGTTGGAGAAAGTTTTTCCGGCGACTGAGAAATCCGAATCGGAATCGCCATTGGCGGTGACCGTTTTCTTTGGAGCGAACGATGCGTCTCTTGCTGATAGATGCTCTGCTTTTCAACACGTTCCTCTTGAGGAGTTCAAGCACAATCTTCACTCCATTCTCGCCTTCCTTAAGGTAGGTACCTTTCCTTTTTCTTTTTTATTAGGCATTTTGTTCATGCGAATAATTTATAAAATTTTTATTTTTAACACGTTTCCCAAGTAACACCAAAAAGTGAAAAAATTTCATTGTCAGATGTCCTTAGTAGTATTTCACTTGATTGACTCTATGAGCTTCTAATGTAAGAATTTGATTTTCGATTTTATACCCCCGTCTGTTCAACAAAATACTTGTTCACTATTAACTTTGCATATTTTTTAAGAAATTATACTTTGAATATAATAAATACATTGTTAACTATAATTAGTAATAAAAATAAATTAGGAATTAAGTGTAAAATTAGCCATTAATTTTATAAATTAAAACAAATATTGTTGGACGGAGAGAGTAATTCGTACACGTGCAAATCTCATAAATCCATCAAATGA